ATGAAGAGCACATAGTGACCATGTACGTCCCAATACCGTTTCAGGATAACCCCAAAAACGGCATAATTGAACAGCCAGATAACAACCGCAAAGAGCACTGCGTTGATTACGTTTTTAAAGATCTTGGCAAATACGATGCCCGTTATGATCAACTCGAAGGTGAAGATCAGTACAAAGAGAATCATTAGAATCAATGCTATTCCAGAAAAGATGCCATCTTCGACTGACCACCACACCTGTAAAACACAATCTGAATCAACAAAAGGCATATCCATATATATCAAACTATTTGAACAACTTACAAACGTGACAAGCATCACGAAAAGTACCAGAACCACGAGGCGTATCATCAACACGAGGACAATACAACAGTATTGTGTCATGAACCGATATCCGTAGTGCCATTGATGCGTCATTACGTTGTCCTTCAGTTGTCCGGCAATATTCTGTAGGAAAATTATTGAATATTAAACCTTGTCGGCACCGCAACCTCTTCTTCTGGACTGACTGACTGATGGACTGACTGATGGAGTGACTGACTGACTGATGGAGTGATTGGCTGACTGACTGACTGATGGACTGACTGATAGGCTGACTGACTGACTGACTGATGGACTCACTGATGAACTGACTGACTGACTAACTGACTGACTAACTGAATGACTGACTGACTGACTGATGGACTGAAGGACTGACTGACTGATGGACTGACTGATGATCAACGTACAGTCCAAACGGTGTAAGATAGTTAGCTGAATTTTTCCAGAAGTTACCCGTGAACGGCAATAACATGTATGTATTCCCAGTATACCAATACACTTTTTCTACATAGTTTTTGGTAAACTCTGAAAATGACAACCCTTGTGGGGCAAATAAACTAATTGAGAACGTCAGCTTCGGTATTTGAACGGTTTGGGCCGAACGTTGATGACCAATCGGTCGGATCACATTGTTTATAGTTTTAAATATAATATCTGGTAAACGTTATAGACTCACCCGTATGATATTTATGAATGGCAACAGAAAGAGAAAATTAAATAGAAAAGACGGAACAGTGTATAAGTCCATAGTAGAGCAGCGTTCGGCTGGTTCATGGAGTCGTACATTAAAAACTTCCGTTCGAGGTTCCGTAGCGGTTGAGGGATTTTGAGTTCGTAGCTTGTGAAACCATTCTAAAAATATTAGATGTTGTAACTGAAGGAATCCTTCACGTATGTATATATCCTGATTAATTTCGGAATCCTTGGAATTATCCCGTTTTGGATTAACAACGCCAGAGCACCGTGTCAGCCATAAACGATCTTCAGTTAGAAACGGGCTAAGCGTACGAAATTCGCTGGGGAACCGTATGGAAATGGAAAGTTCCTTTGGCACCATTTCATCGTTTACATCAATATTCTTAAAAATAACACCGGCTAATATGGTGCGCTCATCGAATTGATTTTGTAAGGCCCCAGCGTTATCAAAACCAACGGATCCATTCAATTCCAGTTTTGTGGCAACTTCCTGGATTACTTCTGACACAAATTTCGTATTGGGTGAGTGGGCTAGCTTGTATTTGGTTTGTTCCCGCTTTGAGTCGACCAGACTCCTGCCAGTTGACACCTTTGAAGTTCAATTAAATGGACATACAACATTTGCATTTAGCTTACGTGAGTATATTAAGATCATCCAGCTTATGGGATACGATGGTCTTGTCTCCCTCGTAATCTGTGCGGCTATAGAGCAATCTTTTTGAATGTGAAATGGGATTTTCAAGTATTACAATCAGCATTATGAATATGATAATGCATTCGAATACAGTGCGCTTCCATAGAGCCAATTCGATTCGAACATTGTGTTTGAATAGCAAGCCAAATGTAGCCGGCATCTTGATATGGATTTTTTTCCTTTTTAAAAACGAACGGCTCGTTTAATTAGTACATCTGCAAGCCACTCACCGCTGATTTATTAAACTCTGAGTGCATCTATAACAAAACAAAACTTGTGTAATTAAGTTTTCTCATGCTTGACAAGAAATGCCCTGTTTTCAAATTGAACACTTGATTGAATTCTCATTCAAATACCGATAACGATGCCAGCGACTATATATGCACAGCCACTGATGGAAGCCATTTACAGTTTTCAGCCCAGTTATTCAGAGTTTAACAAACAGTGCCCATATCTAGATGCTTTAAGCCAAATAAATTATTTAACTCCATTATATTTGCGAAAAGAAACTTTTCGGCTGCATATTTATTAATTTTATTACGTTAGCAGATGGTCTGTTAATGTTATTATCGATACCCGACTCACTTGGCACTGTTAGCACTGTTGAGTACATTTTAAATTGATAAGCCAATAGAACTACTTTTGACCGCCAGGAAAAAAATAGTTCATGCTAAGCTATATAAATTCAGCCAAAAACCTGCCTTATTTGGATCTCCTTTATATATGGGCCCTAAATTAAACAATCACCCAGACAACTTCTGCAATTAACAGAAATTTGCTTTGTTAACAATAACGATAACGTTCCAATTACAGCTTGGTATTTTAACATCGCACAATCGATATAATATTAGCATCCCTGCATCCTCGCAAAATATATCAAATAGTAGACTTGCCGAGTCATAATCAAAGAAGTTAACTTAGCAGGCGTTCGACTGAAATCTAACACAACTTGTAAATTTATTATTCAAGCAGCAGTCGTTTATTAAGAAGAAAATCCATTGAAAAAAGTAGAGCAATATGACACTCACAAATCGGGTAATTGAGCATAACCAAAGTTTGCTAAAAAAAAAACAAACAATTAAAAAGAAGGTAAATTTTAGGTGGATACGGAGGCAGCCTACCAAAAAGGCGAGGGCTTCCGCTCATATTACATACAAAAAATTGAGGAACTGCAGCTAATTGTTGCCGAGAAGAGTCAAAATCTTCGCCGCCTGCAGGCACAGCGTAACGAACTCAATGCCAAGGGTAAGAAACGACACAAAATAAAAGCCCACATAATGTTTTTTTTTTTTATTGTTTATTTTAATAGTGCGTATGCTACGCGAGGAGCTGCAGCTGTTGCAGGAACAAGGTAGCTATGTCGGTGAAGTTGTAAAGCCGATGGACAAGAAGAAGGTGCTTGTTAAAGTGCATCCAGAGGGCAAATTTGTTGTTGACTTGGATAAGAACATTGATATTAACGATGTGACACCCAATTGCCGTGTTGCACTGCGCAACGAAAGCTATACACTGCACAAGATATTGCCAAACAAAGTGGATCCTCTAGTTTCGCTGATGATGGTCGAGAAGGTACCAGATTCCACATACGAAATGGTGGGCGGCTTAGATAAACAAATCAAGGAAATCAAAGAGGTTATCGAGCTGCCCGTTAAGCATCCAGAATTGTTTGACGCCTTAGGCATTGCCCAGCCAAAGGGTGTACTGCTGTATGGCCCACCCGGTACTGGCAAAACACTGCTGGCTCGCGCTGTTGCCCATCATACCGAATGTACATTCATACGTGTCTCTGGCTCAGAGCTGGTCCAGAAATTCATTGGCGAGGGCTCACGCATGGTGCGCGAACTGTTTGTGATGGCGCGAGAGCATGCGCCATCAATTATATTCATGGATGAGATCGATTCGATTGGCTCGTCACGTATTGAATCCGGCTCTGGCGGCGACTCTGAGGTGCAGCGCACCATGTTGGAGCTGCTCAATCAGCTGGATGGCTTTGAGGCCACCAAGAACATCAAAGTCATTATGGCCACCAATCGTATTGATATACTTGATCCTGCATTGCTTCGTCCAGGTCGCATTGATCGCAAGATTGAATTCCCGCCACCAAATGAGGAGGCACGTTTGGACATTCTAAAAATTCACTCGCGCAAAATGAATCTAACGCGCGGCATTAATCTGCGCAAGATTGCCGAACTGATGCCGGGTGCATCTGGTGCCGAGGTGAAAGGCGTATGCACCGAGGCTGGCATGTATGCCCTGCGCGAGCGTCGTGTGCATGTTACCCAGGAGGATTTCGAAATGGCAGTTGCCAAGGTTATGCAGAAGGACTCTGAGAAGAACATGTCCATTAAGAAGCTGTGGAAGTAACAACCTCGTATAGTTACACTGAACCACTTTGATTCTAATTTAATTTCACACAATATAATTTTAAAAATATAGTAAAACAGCAGAATGTTTCTTACAATTTATGCATATTTTTTTATCTTAATTATCTGCAGTGCCCTTGCGCAACTGCAGCTCCGCTTGCAGCATGGCACAAATCTGCTCATCATCGGCCACATCAATGCACGTCTGGCCGTCGGCGTCGCGCAGATCCATATCCGCATTTAACGTTAACAAATAGCGCAATGCCTCCACATGGCCGCAGCTGGCGGCATAATGTAATGGTGTCTGTTGCTCGGCATCGCGCTGGTCCACATTGGCGCCGCACTTGACCAGATACTCAATGATCTCAATGGCATTGCGGTCGGTTGCCCAGTGTAACAATGCCATACCCTGATCATCCAATTGCACCAGATCAGCGGGAGTCAGTTGCTCACGCAAACGCTGCAAATTGTTCTCCTTAACGTGATCGAATAACGTTTTCAGATGCTCCGGCCTGTTGGTCTCCTCAATGGGCACTGACTCAATCGAGTGCACCACCCAACCGCTCAGCTTGCCGCCGCCGCTCGACATTGCGTCCAGCCAATGGGGGTCCAGTTTGTGCACCTTCTCAACGTATGCACGCTGGGCATCTGCGCAGCTCATGTCGCCCAGCTCGTGCCAGGCATTCCATTTGCTGCGCGCTTTCATCTGTAGAATCGAGGGGCGTGGCGTGACACAGACTCCCTCCGATGCCTGTTTGTATAGTGCGTACAACTCGAGCAAATCTCTGGCATCATAGACGTTCGCTTTGCGCATCACGTGCGCCGTTGCCATTGAAAAGAGCTTTTCGATCTCCTGCTGCTCCTCATCATCGCCGATTTCCAGGTCACTGTCAAACATGCTTAACTAAATGCAACTGCAACAACTAATTAACTAATCTAAAAACTGTTTTACTCTCGTTTTCAGTGATTATGTGTATATGTGTGTGTATGTGTCTCTGTGTGGATGTGTGTATTTGGTTTGACAATTTTGTATTGCATTTATGACTTATGTATGTTCAAATAATTGCCCTCCAATATGTGCTTCTGTTCGTTTTCAATCTTTTCGAGTGCTTGCAAACTGTTGAAGCTCACAAAGCCGTAGCCCTTGGAGCAGCCTGTTTTCTTGTCAAATATAACGTTGGCGTTAACTACGCGCCCGAATTCTTTGAAATAGCCTCGCAACTCTTGATGACCCACCGTCCAAGGAAGATTGCCCACAAAAATGCGGTGAACTGATTTTCCAACTTTTGCCACTGCGGTTGCCATGTGTACGAACGAATTTGTCGATGCTCTCTCGGTTTCGTCTCGCTCTTTCTCTCCTTCTCGTCTGCAAATGTCAAACGTTTCTGCTAAAATAGTTATAACAATTTTTAATTCAACATTCTGTCTCACCTGCTTGCCACAAACGTTGCGTAAATTTATGTTTGTGTGTGTGTGTGTGTGTGTGTGCAAGTGTGTAGAATATTAGAGAACGCACTTGTCGGTGTTGTACACTGTAAAATTAACCTCAAAATAGAAATGGAAAATAAATGCCCACTTCAATGTTGCATTTGGCGATTTGTTATCGATTTAATCTCGATTATTTGCCGCTCCACACTAATGGCCAAAGACAAAAGTTAAATAAGTATTTATTAATATGCATTCAATGAGTTGCATTTAACCCAAAAACCAAAAAAAAAGAAAATAATTCATGTATTTTTTATTTTTGCTTTGTCATTTTGTTTAATGTTCCCTTTTTCTTTTAATTTTATTTGCGTTTTTGTATTTCCTTTTCATTTAACAAATTTGTTTAAAGATACAAACTACTTATAGTTAACAACATCGCATACATATTTAATAAATAAACAATCATTTCTCGTACATTTACAATACAATGCGATATAAAACAAATTTCAATTGGCGCAAGCTTGGGATGTTGTTCTGCCGATCAATAAATATCTATGGAAGCGATTTGTTTCTTTCTTTTCATTTTTTCTTATTTATTTTTTTTTTTAATATTAGTCAGCCAATTAATAATGTATTGCGAACAGTTTAATTTGCTGTTCAAAATACAAATTTGCTACGATTTGTCAGTTAACTTGCATCAATATTATCATTAATTAGATCATAATTGCAGGCGCTGCTCCTATCATTTATTTGTTTTTGTTTTTGTTTTTATTTTTATTTAAATATTATCGGTGTTTTGAAGAATCTATTGAACCAAAGCGTGTAATTGTGTATTTTTGCTGCGGCTCAACCGTTGCATTTGTGTTTTATGCCCTTAAAATAGATGTTACTTGATTTGATTTGTTTATACTTTAATAGTTATCATTGTCTTATTTCAATTTAAATACAAATTTAGTACGCCTTCAATGCCTTGGCCTGCATGCAGGCATATCTTAAGAGTTAACATAATCCTTCTCTTTAATAACACAAATAAGCCTAACTCATTTTTTTTTTTTTTTTTTTTGTTTTTAAATTTAGTTTCGTTTCAGTTTTGTTGATCTTTTGACAAGTTAGCAAATCGAAAACTATAGAGGTTTAAAAGTTATTCGCCTGATTTGTACAAAACCTATACAAAAGTTATTTGTTTAATATATGTATATATATATATAATGTAAGTATGTATGTGTTTATGCATTTCGCTCTGATTTCCAGATCAATTGCAGTCAAAACTAATTGTTAAAGTATACATACAGTAAAGTTTTGTAAATATAGAAAACAATCTTTTATATTTAATAATATTTATAATATAATTACAACAAACTATGTCTAACATAAATATATGTAATTTTTATATATTATACATATAAAGTGTTTGTGTTGTGGTTGCTTAGCTTAGATTGTATACACATATATGTATATATATATATCTATATATACATATATATATATATCTCGATTGATATTTTATCTGTTTGTTTTTCTAGTTTCTAGTTTAGTTGTAACTTTCCTTTTAACATACTGTGTGTGTTAGAGACTGGCCTCTTTCGTATAGTACAAATAACCCGAAAATTTGTTTAATTTTCTAGTTTTCTAGCACACGTACACACGCATGAAAACAATTGATCAATAATAATGATCATAATCAAAATAAAAAAAAAACCGAAGGGTTTGTTTCAATTAAAAAATTTGCAATAATTGTGAAGTGAAGTAGATATAGTATTCCTCTATTACAAACATGTCTCGTCTATTAATTAGCATAATCGTACTGAAAAAAAAAATTCGTTATGTGTCACAGCACCACCATTCATTCATTCATGTTGTTTTTGTTGTTGTTATTAATTCAATTGTTGTAAAACGTTAATTGCAATTATTATTTACTAACTTTTCGAACGCATTTGCTTAGTGCATTAGCAACATTTGGTGGCAACACACCCGCTACCAAAGGCGATGCAGGTGTAGATTTCGTGATAATACCGAACGTACATCGTTTGTGAATCGCAACGCGTCCAGCATGGGTAGCAGGGATAACAGTGCCGTATCCATTGGATCGGAGAACCAACTTTTAATGGGTATTGCATTGTTTGGAAAGCAACGGTATGCCCCTGGTGAATTGTCAATTATAAATATCTGCAAGAATCGTAGATGGCAAACATATTAGTTGGCATCACGCCACCAAATAGACAATTTGTTAGCTAACCCTATTCAAATCACTGCATATGGCTGACAAATCTTTGGTATAGGAGCCATAGTCGGGCGTGCAGTGTTGTCTGTAGTAGCGACGCCGCAGTATATTGCGGCCATTGTCAAGTTTGTCGGCCACAGCAGCCCCATAGATTTCCATGCTGGCCGTAAAAACAACCAGATCATACCACTGCGATACCTATAATTATACAAATGAATAAATAAATAAACATATGACAGTTAACCAACGGGTTTTTAGTAGTTTTTTGAATTAATCTAGAACTCGAAACTCTTTCTCAGTATCCTCCACACATCGTATAGAAGGAAGTATTACAATGCCATCATATTGCTTTACATTTATTGCAAATTTGTAAAATCATGTTCAAAATAATATGAATAATATGATTTGTGATAAATCAAATCGAATTGTTATACAAAAAAATTATAGCTTGCTCTAGGTACTTTGTTAAAGTTTATAGCTGTGGTTCGTGTGTATGTTTATTACTGGCACAACGTTTAAGAATGACGCACAAAGAGGACTTAAGAAACCCGACTATCGGATAAACAATATATGCACATATGTCACTAAGTATGATGATGATGGTGGTCATATGTATGGAGCAACGTTTCAGAATGACGCATATTAGAAAGATTGCCGGACGCGAGGATAGGCATATGTCAGACACATCTGAGCTCTCACACTCTTGTCGACCGTTGTTGTTGTTGTTGTTGTTGTTGTTGTTGTAACCGGCAAAAGACTCACCACTTCCAAAAAGTAATCAACATGCGGTCGCTTGTGCACAAAGAACCTCACTGGATGCCTGTCGATAGTCACTTTGACGGTGAAATCGTGCGGCGTGCCAGGCTTTACCGTATTCCTGGGCATGGCATTGTGATGTGAGTGTATCAGCGTCTCGTCCAGATCCAGCACCAAGGTTTTTCGCTGCACCAGGCTGAGGCGATGGCGGGATACCGGTGACAGCGGGAATTGTTCATATTTAACCGGCTGATACTGGATAAACTAAGAGAGTTAATTTATACATTCAAATGTTGTATATTCACAATTGTTTTTGCACAGCTGATAAAAAGGAATACAATGTGATTAGTTATAAGGACAAGTAACAATACAAAAAGTGTGATCATGAAAGCTTTCAAAATTGGAGCACTAAAGTCATGTGAATCCCCTGCTGCAGTGTCATGCTGTCAAGGCACAATTTACAAATCAAAAGAGATGCGGGCACGAGAGAAACCAATGCAAAGAACAGCAATCGAGATAAGACGCTGAAACTGCATTCAATGCAAATGCATCGCTAAGCCATGGAGCAAATGTCAATGTGACAAAAAACCATATGAGCAGCAGGGCTGTATGGGGTGGCCAGGTGGTGTGATAGAAAGGGGTAGAGCATTGCTATTGCTTATCGCGGCCTTGACCAGTGGCTGGCATTTGTTATTTAATCGGTGCCAATACCAGAAAAACGTTAAGCTCTAATTTGGATAATGTTTGGTGCGTGTGTGTGTGTGTGTGTGTGTGTGTAGGTGTGTGTGCTATAAACAGATCACTTTGTTATAATTACTTTATTATCTATATTTGATGATGTACTTACAGCTCGCACTTGTCGATTGAACATGAAACAAATGCATGTCCAAACCTTCGATAGCAGCATAAGCAGCGCATGAAATTTCATTTGCACCAGCGAAATCATTGGTAAGAAGTTCTCTTCTTACCGCAATTACAAATCGAGTTTTGTTAAGTTGCAGTCGCGTCGTCGTCGTCGTCGTCGTTGTTGTCAACGTACTGCTCCACTATTGTTGTAGGTTAGCTTAACGTTAGTTAGCATAAATTAAAAAAAAAACAAAAAAAAAAACCAAAAAAAAAATAAAATAAAATAAAATAAAAGCTTCCTACAGTCACGCAAAACAACCAAAAACAACGCGCCGGCTGTCGAGCTACAAAATTGTTGTTGTTGCTCTTGTGCTTTTGATAACGCGCTCAAATTGTTTGTTTGTATTTGTGTTTCCGTGTTGTACTTTGCGGTATCGTTATCGGTATCGATATCACAATTATTGCTTTTTTGGACACCTTTCATACACACATACACTCATATATATATATATATATATATAGACGAAACAGGCGAGAGGCGCGCAGGGCACAAAATCGATATTTAACACAAGCGTTCCGCCGGGGCCTGCAAAAGGATATGATCTATCCTGCTTTTGTTTATGTTTGTACGCATGTACATGCACATGTGTGCATACGTGTGCACGGCTTTGATGTGGTTTATTTTACTATTTACACCATTGATTGCGCTAAATGTTTCATCACTTCTCTCATTTTCACTGTTGTATTTGTTACTTGCTGGGCCTCTTGCGATTGCTGTCACAATTTTTGTTATTTTTCGTCGATTTTGATTGTCGCCGTTGCGGACGTTGCTTCAATGTTTAGGCATGCGTTTATTGCATTTAATTTATTTAGCCAGCCACTCTGCCATGGGAAAACCAACAAATTGCCAGAAAAAAACCTTTACTTTCGATCTTTATATTTATAAAATAGTGTCGCGCGGCAAAAAAATATATATTGCACTTTGATATTGAGTAATCTGGTTCTTGCTTTTTGTTTAATGAATCGCACACTCTGACGTGCTCACACACAGACACACACTTCTTTAATCAATTTGGCCAAAAGCCAGTCCAAAAAATAAATTGTGAAAAATAAAAGAGATTGTCGCCGTGAGCGTGGTGTTGTTATCGTTGGTTTATCGATATGCGCTATATTGTCTTACATTTTTTTTTTTTTGATGCCGGTTAGCATTAGTATCGGCGGAAAATTCGCTACACTATGCTAAGAGCAAATATTTCTATTTACAAATAAAAATAGACTTTAAATGAATAAAGATAATATATATTAGGCTAAGTGTATAGTATTTTGTTTCTACATCATAATAAAGTACATCCAATTATCTTATATTATAGCGGCCGCAGGTTTGCAGAACGCCATGTTGGCTTACACGACTTACCATGCATCATGCAAGGCAATGTTAAATATCTATTCTTAAATTCGCAATTTAATAATGATATTCTATGAATAAACCGTTTTGTGGTATTTTTATGAATATGAACTACATAAATGCCAGTATATGCCTAGATTCAGAACCCTAGAGGGTAGTAAGCCATTTGACCACGCGGCATCATGCACGGTCTGAACGTGTAAGCAAAACGAAATGCATCGATAACTGTTAATCGCCCGACCGCTGTAATCGTTTAAAGCGTCGTTGACGTTCTTTACAATTCGCAAAAAAGTGGAAAGAAAAAGAAAAATTATGTAGACTTTTTGGCAAAAGTATATCATTGTAAAAGTTTTGCAAAAACTAAGTTTTAGGCCAAATAGTTCGAAGACGTTCCTATTGCGCGTGGCACGCAAAACGCTTAAGTAGCTTACAATTTCCATTTTATATACATATATATATGAATATATATATATATATATAAATATATGTGTATATATATGCATATATATGTGTATATTTATATATGTATATATATATATATGTGCATGTGTGTGTATGTGTTTTAATGCGGCGACTGCGAATGTGAAAAAAGCCGCACTCCGCAAACCCGAGGCGTAGACTTTTTTGTTGTTGTTGTTGTTGTTGCTTAAGACAAGTCCGCATACTCCACATCAGCGCTTGTGTGTGCGAGCGGGGCGTGGTACCGGGGGCATTAAATTGAATTTTCTTTCACGAACCGTTTTATAATAACCGCTAAAATTGTGGAAAAACAGGAGAAAACTCCCAAGCGGAAGAAGAAGGCTGCAGCCAGTAAAATGTCTGCAGTTTATTCGCCGCAACCGCCGCCGCAGCAGCAGCAGCAGCCACCGACGCAGCATCCGCCGGGATCCGTGCAGTTGCCGCCGCCGCAGGCGCCGCCACAGCAACAGCAGCAACAAACACAACAACAACAGCAGCAGCAGCAGCAACAACAACAACAACAGCAGCCGCCTGGCAGTGGACAAGGACCGCCAGGTGGCGTTGGAGTTGGACCAATGGGGCCCATGGGTCCGATGCAGCAGCGCGTTGGCCCCGGGCCAGTTGGTAATCCCGTCGGTGGTGTCGGCGTCATGATGGGCACACCGCCCAATCCGAATGCACAACGTGGCGGCGTTCCCACGCAGCAGGTTAACTCGGCACAAATACAAAAAATGCTGGACGAGAATTGCGGCCTCATCCAAGCTATACAGGACTTTCAAAACATGGGCAAGTCGCAGGAGTGCATGAGCTACCACGTGGCGTTGCATCGCAATCTGGTCTACTTGGCGCAGCTTGCCGATCCCCAAATGAATATTGCCCAAATTTTGCCAGTAAGTGCCATACGAATAATTATTATTTAAGTATGTACGTATAACTTTACATTTTCGCAGCCGCCACAGCTATTGCAAACGCAGGCAATGCAGCAGGGCAACCAGCCACCGGCGCCACATGGCATGTCAGGCGTTGGTGTGCCGCCGCCCGGACAGCAACAGCAGGTTCAGGGCCAACAAGGGGCACCGGGACCGCCTCCGCCGGGCAGTGTCATTCAGTCACAGATGATGCAACATGCCGCAGATGCTGGCGTTGGTCCCGTACAAATGCCACCCTATCCCGGCCAGCAACAGCAGCCTACACATCCGGGCATGCCGCCCAACGCTCAGCAGCAATCTCAGCAACAGCAGCAGCAGCAACAACAAGCCGGCCAGGTGCAGCAGTCGCCGCAAGTTAGCCAAGCTGGTCCCCAGCCGCAGGCCGCCTATCGCAATGTACAGGCCGGCGCTGGCCAAGCTCAGGTCGTGTCCAATGCAGCGCCCAGTAAGTGTAAAGTAGCGTGCAACCAAATATATATATATATTATATATCGGGGTATATATATGTATCGGGGTATGCCTGGCGTACAGCTTTCTGTTTTCCATGCGAAAGATTGTGAATTCTTGCATGATATAATGTTGACTCCAGTTGGCCATCTCTGCCATTTTTCTTCTTCTTTTCAAGTATGCCATTTGGCTAGTCAGAAAGTGGGCGAAAACGGGCGGGAAAACACGTGAAACTCGTTATGGCAACTTTTTAATATGCTCCTCTTTTACAGATCAGCAGCAGCGGCCCAATAACGGACCGCTACCGCCCGGACAGAGCCAGGCGCCGCCACCGCAACAGCAGCAGCAGCAACAGCAGCAGCCGCCCAACCAGCAACAGCAGCCGCAACAGGGTCCGGGGCTGGTGCCGCCACCGCAGGCACAGTATCGGGTTAGCTATCAACAGCAACAACAGCAGCAGCAACAACAGCACGGACACTATCCGGGCTATCCGCCGCAGTCGCAGCCCCAGTACCAGCCTCAGAATGCGTATCCGTACGGACCGCCCGGTCAGGGCTATGGGCCACCGCCGCCGCCGCCAAATGCTCAGGCTGCCTATCATCATGCTGGCATGCCGCCCACATCGACTGCAGCGGGTGCACAAGGTGTGGTGCATGCCTATCAGCCCAATCCAAATGCTGGGGGCGTGTCTGCCGGAGGTCAGCAGCAGCAAGCGCCGCCGCCGGGTGCATATCCACCACCACCACCACCCAGCCAGCAGGTGACACCAGGGCAGCAACCCCCACCGCCGCCAACGCAAATGTACGGGCCACCACCGACAGCTGGCGGACAGTCGGGACCACCGCCGCCTGGTCCACCACAGAATGTGTTGCCCAATCAATATGGGCCGCCACCGCCGCAAAATGCTGGTGCTGTGGCGCCCGGACCGCCACCAATGGGCTATGCAGGCTATCCGCCGAATCAGTACGGACAGGGGGGCACGCCCGGTGGACCGCCCGGTAATTATGGACCGCCGCCCACTAGCCAATCACAGTCCCCGTACCAGGCGTACCAGCAGGCAACCGGCGCGCCACCCGGCAGCTATCCGGGTCAACCTGTACCCGGACCACCAAACGCCCAGCAGGTCAGCGTTGCGGGCACAAATGCCGGACCGCCGCCACCGCCGGCTAGCTACAGCACAGCACCCAGCCAGACACCGCCGCCGCCACAGCAACAACAGTCGGCGTCCAATCAGCAACAGCAGCAACAACAACAACAACAGCAGCAGCAAGCAGGCAATCCGAATGGCCCCAATACGCCGCAATCGACGCCACCCCCAGCCACATCTGTGGCGGGTGTGCCACCAAATCAGCAGGCGCCAGGCGCGAACGCTGCCCAGCAGCAACCGCAATATGCTCCACAACAGCAGCAGCAACAGCAGGTACGTAAAACGACAATAAATGGAATATAGATGAAACGCAGCTAATCTTTCTTACTTCTTTTAAGCCATTGCAGCAGCAGCAGCAACAACAACAGCAACAGGGACAGCCTGGCCAGCAGCTGAATGCCGTTGTGTCTGGTGTATCGCCACTGCCCACACAGCAGCAACCGACCTATTCGACGCCACCCACTAGCGTGGCTGGCTATGGAACACCACAGCAGCAGCAGCAGCAGCAGCAACAACAACAGCAGCAGCAGCAACAGCAGCAGCAGCAGCAGCAACAACAGCAGCCACAGGGCGGTCCACCGCCGCAACAGGGCGGTCCACCGCCTGGCGGGCCACCCAACTCAAATGCGCCACCACAACCGAATGGGGCAACGCCACCAATGGCACCGAATCAATATCAGCCAGCGCCTGGCTCACAGCCATATGGAGCACCACCACCACCGCCGCAGGGCTATGGACCGCCGCCGCCAGGCAGCGCGTATCCAGGACACGGTTACCATCAGCCGCCGCAGGCAGGTGGCTATGCGCAGTATCCGCCGTCACAGGGCTATCAGGGCTACAGGCCAGCACCGGGCGGTGCACAGATGCCACCACCGGGCGCACCACAAGGACCGCCGCCGGCAGGCGCATATGGCTACTATAGTAGTCAGCCGCCGCAGTGAACAAACGACATTCAACGATTTGCGCAGGCTGGATGACAAGGATGACAAGAGCTGAACACGCGCCACGTAATGTTCCTTCTTGATCTATCGATACCTCTCTCTTTCTCTCTCTCTCTCTCTCTCCCTCTCTCTCCCTATCTCTATCTCACTCTCTGTCATGCGCTAGCCATCAGTTATGTCCCTATTAACAGCACTTGTCAACTGCTTTTGCGATAGACGCGCAGGAATTCGAAAGCGTAAAACAAAATACTTCTTAACAAATAGCATTACTTTGTATTTGTAGCGACTGTAATTGAGCCAAGCGTCGAGACGCGTCCATTAGGCATATACATAACTCTACATGCATACATTTAATTTATACGATTTTCAACTACCTACATATATACAAATTAATTAATGTTCTCGATTTTAAAATGTGTGTGTTGTCTGCCCTTTTTTTTTTTTTTTTTGTTTTAATTACTATCGATTTTTTTTTTTTAATGTGTGTGTATTAACGTTTTTGTCCTTATCCAATTGTAAAATGTAGCGCACAACATGCACTAAGTAGTTTTTTTTTAATACAATTTTACAATATAAACCATTTATATTCGACAAATGGCAGAAGCATGAAAATAACCAAGATTTAAGTAGTATTTAATGATCAAATATTCCATTAACAAAACAGAAACACTCAAGCAACTTTTTAACACGGACAACACGCGGCTAAGCTTTTTGTGCGTGTGTGTGTGTGTGTGTGTGTGTGTGAGAGTGAGAGCGGCTGCTGTTGCTGCTGCTGTCCTGCTCAAACGCATAGTGAGTGGCGCGCGCACTTTATTCTAGCTGTAACTGTAAGCCGAAAGGGTTTACCGATGATCGATAACATGCATGTATGTGTGTATCGTCATCGATAGCATTTACATAATATTGAAACTGTATTTAAGAAACGGCAAATGCTATTGCTAACAAAAACAAAACAAAGCAAAACAACACAACAGATACAATTATTATTTAAAAATACTTACGTATAATTGAAGAACAAAACAAAAGCAAAATGCATTCAATAAAAGCAACAAGCTGTCTAATTTTTGCATTTTCTATATGTTCGAGTACTGTGAAATGCATAGATATATTTTCCCTGAACATGATAATTTCGATACGCTGATTTGTTTTTTCCATTATATTGGGCGTTAAGATTAATACGGAACGATCACTATAAAAGCCGGTGTTTTTTGGAGTTGTTCCATTTTTGTGTACAAAATCTTTTTAAGCTTTTCATAGAGAACAGTTTTGTATCATATGGAAGTGAGTAAGCCAAAGCGGTTTCCTGTAGTGTGAGCGAATAAGATAGAGCAGCGATGCCGTTCGCCATATGTATTTCTTACTCTCTTGCTGCTGCGAGTGCATGCGAGTGTGTCGCGAACCCGAACAAAAACGAAGGTGACTTTGGACCAGTCGCGTATAAAATGCATGGCCCCATTATTTTACACTGCATGTCCAGCCTATATGTTGTTTGGTTAAGTGATACTATTCCAATGTGCTTATTTCTAGGATACATACTGCTTAGCTTTAGAAAGTAGATTAGTTTGCCAGCAAGTAGAAAAGACAGTCAACCTGATCAAGGATTGCTAAGAATTATTCAAAATGATTTGGAATATGGCATTTTTTATAAAATCAATGTATACAGAATTATTTTAGCATCTAAAATAGCGGAAACCAGATGGACTACTGCTTTCACAGATTGAATATCTTATTTAATGATTGAGAACAAATCCATAAAAAAAAATGTTCATGAACATGGAGCGTTTTATTTGTGTAACCGATGATCAGGACATGCCAAAGTTCTTTAACTAACTGATGTATCAAAATGACTGGCGTACTTTGGAATATGTTTGAAACAGCTGCCAAAATAGGTGCTGCTTACGAGTATCTCTTGTCCACTTTCCCTATATCCCCTGCTTCATTCAAGATCTCTCTCCCTCTCTCTCTCTTTCTCTTTGTTTCCATCTCTCGCTGTCAAACGCTTGCCGGGTTTATCACATGGACGCCTGCTTATCACAAGATTGATTACTTTCCGCCTGATCTGGCTGCTGTTTGACCTCCTCCACCTTCGCCTCCGGCTCCCCGTCTGGTTTCCGTTTCAAGGGCTGATCGCCAACAACATCTGTCGAACGCTTGCCAGCCCGATTGGTCAGCTTATGGAAGAGCTTACGCAGCAGATTGCGCGGCATGGTCGTTTGCCGCTCCACAATGATCAACTTGGTGGCGACACTGTGTATGGGCCCAAAGGCCAGCGCCACCACGGTGCAAGCCAAACAGATGACATTGTACGGCATGCTGAAGTCTGGCGTGGGCAGCGACACAATCAGCGCCTCGGTGCGCAATGTCAGCAAATATGTGGCACGTGAGGCATTGAACGAATCCTTGAAGAGATGTCCCTCCAGCGGCAGGGCCGTATAGTTGCGTCCAATCGGCAGCTGGCTACTAATGACGGCAGCGCCAATATAATGACCATGATTGGCATCCGGCGGATACTCAAGCCATTTAAGCAGCAGATAGTCCACCTCGATGGTAATCAGGGCGCTGCTCTGTGCAGGCAGCACAAAGCCAATTTCCAGATGTGTGGGCAACTCGCGCTGCTTGCCAGGCGCATAATGCAACAGCTGGAACTTCAGCATCTTGGCGCTGCACTCGTGCAGATGCTGCGGCTTGCTGCGTAAACGCAACGTGTGCAGATAGGCATGCACATACCAGGGCACCAGCTCCATGAGCACAACAGGAAGTGGCTCGTAATGTGTGTTGGTCACCTCAGTGGCAATGCGTCCGCGCTTCTGGCCATTGCCCAGCAGATAGCGATGCGCATAGAGGGGTGGCGGCAATGTTTGCTCCCTGTTGCTGTTACCCTTAGCTCCCACCCAGGCGATGTTGAAGAGTCGGGCACCAGGGCCTGCAAACAGTTGTTGGATATCGTAGACGCCATAGAGCACCGTGTAGCCACCGACTGTGCTGGTCAACTCGTGTTGTGGCTGTGGCACCAATTGAAAGCGTTCACCCTGCTCGTTGCGCTGCACATAAATATTGCTACTGGTGGCCAGCTCGCAGTAACCGTTAAGGCCCATACCGAACAGACGGCGCAGAGAGAAGTCAGTGCTGCTCTGCTCCAGCAGTTTTAAATCGTAGACCAGATTAGCCGTTTGTGTCAGCTCCACAATGCAATTGTCTGGGTCGCTGCTGTCGCACAATGTACGCACTTTAACGCCCAGGGAATGGTATTTAGTATTATGCACATAGCCCGAATTGAGCAAAGTAGCCAGGCCTGAGGCACTGCCGCAGGGCAGCAACTTTTTCCATGGCGTCAAGTTCTCAGTACAGACAATTTCTCGCGGCAGCGTCGAGTAGCGCACAAACTGCTGGCTCTGATTGCCCAAATGCATAAACTGTGGACGGAATATATGCTTGGGTGCTATGCTATTGGTATTATCGACGAAATTGAGCGAGGCACAGAGTACGCCGGAGAATACATTGGCCAACCGCATCCATTGCTTGTCGACATCCTCGCTAGTCAGATTTGGTGAACTAAACCAGGCCCAAAGTTCGGCGCCACCGGTTGCCTCCACAATGGGATAGCCCCAGGTCTCGTAACGCCATAGACCCTGGGTCAGGCCTATGTGCAGCTCTTTCACATCGTACGTTTGCAGTATTTCGGCAATGACGCGCGGCGTCAGTTGCGTATGATAAACTAATGGGCGGCAATTGTTGAATGTGTGCTTATGGGCGTGGCAATTAGCACAGTTACTTACGATTGTTGCGATTACCATAATGCCAACGTGTGGTGAATTGAAAGTATGTGTTTACATGGTCGCCGGCAAGTGGCCGCACCACCAGTTCCTCATGAAACTGCTCATCGGTATGGTATTGGGATTGGTGGATCTGAGCCAGAGCCAGTGGCGCGAGCGGCGTGAACAGCAGCAGCAAAAGGAATGCCAATGCAGTGGTCATTTAGATGCAGCAGCAGTAAATGCTCATTAATACTACTATGTAATTATTATGATACAAATTAAAAAGGGAAGTTGATATGTTATCGATATATCAATTATTCTTGCCTTGGCATTTATTTGTTTGTTTTCATTTTAGTTATCGGATGATTAATTCCTATTAATGCAGTATATTTTAAAGATCAGCATCTCTTCCAAGGTTCCACATCGATATTTCAGTGAATATCGATATTTATTGCAAATATATTTTAAACGTTGAATTTCGTTTATTTGAAGCATTAACGTTAAAACCAATATTTTGTCCAAAGTCTCATTTACAAATCATAAGTAATGAAAAGTGTACATTTATTTGCATTTCTTATGATTTGTACATGAATGTTACAGTTTGAGACAGAATATCGATATTTTGATAGATTTAAGCAACTGCAAGCGCAGTTGGTTGGTTTTTGTAGGCTGGGCACACTGTCGATATTAACCTATTGTGCTATGTGTGTGTGGTGGGTGTCGCAGAAGCATTTGTAAACATACCAAAGGGGTAATAAAAACACATTAAGAGCTATACAAAATTATGCTTGTTTATTATTATGTTACACCAAATGATTTTGATTCCAATCTCGCATGCAGCTAAGAACCTTATTATTTAAGTAACGTGTATTTCTTATGGTTTGGAGCACGTGGTGTATCCTAGTCTGTGAAATATATTATACATGTATAATTTTGACAACAGCAGCTGTAAGTGCATAAAATGTTTTTCAACTTGTTCACATATCCGGATATAGTTCGACCAAGTTTAAAGATGTGCTCTAAATAAACTTCGGAACCAGCAGTCATAAATTTGTATTTCGATTCTTGCTGAGAATATTAAAATTATGTAATATTAGAAGAGTTCGCACATGAATATTTGTAATTGAAATTCCGTTCGATTTTTGCGCGTATATGCTTTGGTCACACCGAACTGTAACAGTGTGACCGCTCATGAAACTTATCGTGTGCTACGTTGGGCCACACTGTTCACTCAGTGCTGTCAGTTGTTAGAGAGCCGAGCGACTGTGAAGACGTACGTGTGTGCTCATACAGTGCTCTCAGAATTTATTTTTGGTAATTTTTTGCTTCTGGTTTAAATTAATAAGTATTTTAAACAAAATCACGATAATAAAATAAATTAACGCCGCAATAAATATTAATTAATAAACAATTTGTTTAACGTACAATGTTAAAAGAAACAATTTATGCAAATTTCAGGCAGTTTTTTTCCCCTACTGGCAGAGCAGCAAGCAAAATAAAATATAAAAAAAAAAACCAAAAAAAAAAACCAAATGCAATTACACATTGCCGCGCGCACACTGCAGCAGCCACACAAACAACAATGAAATGCTTGTTTTGTTGTTAAATGCAACATTAAATGTATGAAACGCAATGAATTAAAAACGAAAACCTATTTTGAAGCGACACTTTTATTTGTGTACATTGTACATACATAGGCATTTTACATATACGTATATATAAATATATACTTATATATATATATATATATTAATGTACATATATATGGGAGCAATTTATAAACATTTGACTATGAATATCGAAAATGCACTTTTTTCGCCTTTATAATTGACACGAATATGAACAAATATTTATATCTACCAAAGAGAAAAAGCGTTAGCGTTTCTTTTGTTCAATTGAAAAAGAAATTGAAATTCGCGGAAGACGACACGACGACGGTGAAGAAAGATTTTTACTCGCGTCGCGGTATACTTCAACTGTTTTTGAACTTTTATTGCGTTGCTGCTGAGCAAGAGCGCCAACTACAAAAATCGCTGCGCAGCGGCCAACAACAACAAGTCGCTGCCACCGAAAGTAAAATACAATGGAATAAAAATGTGTGTACGAGTGTAGTGTCGAGAGAGAGAGAGAGAACGAGCGAGTGCGACTTGAGCATGCGCGATATGTGCTCAAATGTTGCCCTTGTCTACCTCTACGAATGTATGCGTGTCTGTATTTGTGAATGTGTGTGTGTGTGTGTGTGTGTGTGTGTGTACGTTTGTGTCGCGTTATTTTCGCCTTCGCCGTGCTACGCGCTGCTTAGTGTGCGCGTATTCCGTTTATCCGCACCGCCGTAAACTCACACACTGATTTTGCCATTAGCCATTGTTGTGTTCTCAGCGAGTCGCCGCTGTAGCTGCTGCTTTGTGGCTTTCGTTCGTTGCTTGCTCCCAGTTTGCTTGCTGTTTTGCCAGAAGACAAAGTATTTTAACTAGCACACTACTGTTAATTAACTACTGAGGCAGTCAGTCATTTCAATGCATATTCTATTAATTATATCAATTTAGCAAGCGCAAAAAGTTCTAGCAAAACAACAGTATATAGACACAGACATACATACATATAAACTATATACGTACAGAGTTAGTCACCGTTTTTTTTTTTTTTTGTAACTTTTAAAATACATGAAAACATTAAGCGAATGTATGTACAGACATAAACAAAAAGAAAAGTGTACAAATACAAAAGCAAGCAAAAGTAACGGAAAGTTCGTAAACGACATTCTTTGCTCGCTAATGTGGTCGGCATTGTCGGCCCAGAAATCACAGCGGAGCAAGCGAGAAGGCAAAACAACGGCAACAAAGCTGCTCGCTGAGCAGATGTAGCCGCGAGCTTTTAAGAGCAAAGAGCAGCGCTCAATCCAGAGAGTAGCACAAGAGCGCCATACAAACGACGCCACCTACTCAAAGAAAAAAAGGTGATTTTTTTTGTTCAATTTGTATTATTTCTTTTTCTTTTTTTTTTTTGGATTTTCGTTTTAGTTTTCGCATAGTCTTAATAACTCCTCTGTAGGCTAACAAATTTGTAAATTAGTAAGTAAGTTTAGTTATTGAAAAGTCAGCAGCACCAGCAACAACAGCATCCACAAAGTGCTTTGACAATGAAAATAACCATAAGAAAAATAGTAAAAAAAAAACATATTTACAATTACAATACGATAAACAACAATTTGTAGCTAAAAAAAAAAAATTACACATTTCGACGTAACGAAAAACCATCAACACTCAAATGATACAAAAACAAACAGTAACAAAAAAAATATATATATATAAAGAATGAGAAACTCAAGTTAAATAAACGTAATTTTCATTGCCTTTAACCGAAAAAAAAAACAATTACACTTTTCTTCGCTCTCTCTCTCTCTCTCCCTCGTATATATATATATATGTATGTGTATATATGTATGTGTATATATATATGTATGTACATCCTCGCTAGTCGCTAGTCGCCGTCGCTGGCTCTTTATTTCATAACTAGTTTGTAGCTGACAATCATCACATGTGTAGATCTATATGTAAATAGATTTCGGCCAATTATGTCTGGTTCTAGCTGCAAATATACATAAATGCAATAAATGTGGCTCAGTCCACAAATAACATTCAGGGCACAAAGTAAAATGCACAAAATCGAAATGCGCCATTTAACGCGTCCCATTTTGAAATGTGAGAGTTTCGCTTTACGCTCATTTGTCGCTTTGTAGCGCGTCGTGCACACAGCACTCTCGTTCAGTCGGGAAATATAAACGAGCGCTCTCACTGCCAGCGTTGCCACACGTGCGCCGCCCTGTTTGTTTCTGCTCTGTGTGCACACATACACAAACGCATGCTTGTGCATGTGTGTGAATTTGTCATTTCCTGTCCGTCTGTCCTTAAACAGGCGACAAATTTATCACCCTTGGGACATTCAAACGGCAAATTTACAGCAGTGAGTTTTTATTTAACTACACAAGTGATTGCTGCGGTGAGAATGAGAGAGTGATGGCCAGATTCTTCTTGGATCTGCATGTGTTTGTGGTTTTAATTTCATTGGGTCGGAAGAGGGACATGTTCTTTTTCTTTAGGTTCTGTCAAGGGCATTCAACCTAGAAATTGTGTGGAGCGAGCGCGTTTGCATAAATTTCACTGATTCATCCTTGCGTTCGCTAGATGACGTCAGATTGACAATTCGCCTGCCTGCCACAGCCTGAATGACCGCCCGCCCGCCCGACCGACCGACCGCCTGTCTGCCTGCCTGCCTGCCTGCTGTCCGCCCAAGAGCACATTGGCTATTTTTAAAAGAGCCCCAGCTACAGTGTGTGTTCAGCATTTGTATCTGCCTACGTATGCGTGTGTGTATTGCTGTTGCCATCGCCGCATTCGCATTCCTCAAATAATTTCGTATTTTATAATGGGGGGAAAAATAGCCAAACGCTATATACAGCAAAGCACATCGCATTGTCGCGCGCGCGCGCACACACACACACACAAACACACGTGCATACCCACAGAGGCAATGGCAAAACAGACGCTCGTACGAGAATGCTCTGCTCTTGCTCTGCCACCACCCGTCACCTTGTTGACCCAGCTTATTTTTCGCTGGGCCCTCTGCCGCGTTTTCGAGCTAAACGCTCGGGCCCGCGCTGGCGGCAGACTGAACGTTTTCATACATTCGAAATTTCAACGAACTTCGGTTTGTGGCCGTCAACCACCGCTGCCGCTGTCGTCGTCGGCGTTCATTGTGAATTCGCCGCAACTCTCTTTTGTAGCTTTGTAGCGCGCGGAGTGTAGCGACACCATCAAACAGCATCAAACAGGCTAACAAGTTTTCGCCGCAATTTACTCATTTCACTGTTTCCTCTCCCATGAGTTATTCGTTGCTTTTCTTTTTGCTCATTACAAAAGAAGTCAGCTGCAGCTTTTGTTCCTCTTCTGTTTTGAATTTGTTTATGTTCATTAAATGCAATTAGAATTAATACCGTATATTTCACCAACATATCCGAAGTGAAAATTACAACTTTATCGTACTTATGTATATATGTATACATAGATTTGTATATACATACATACATTCACGCTCAATTTGCTCACATCTACATCTGTGTATGCGTTTGCGTTTGCTTCCGTTATCCATACATGCACACATTTGTATGAACATACATACACACATACGTACATGCTGATGCATGTGTGTCAATTTTCATAGTGATGTAATAGTTTTTTAGGTGCGGCTACTTCTTTTTCAGTTTTATTTTTGCTATTCTTTGTTATACTATTCATACTCTGCCAAACGGGGTCACATATGTATGTATGTATGTATGTGCATAAAAGTAGAATACAAAATTGAATCGTACAACACACATACATACAGACAAGCTTAACTAACACCAATGCGCCGACTGTTGACCGTTGTTTTTCTAGACCTGCACATCTCTTTCCAACATTAACCACTTGCCATCGTTGCAGCAATAGATCATCCTTCTGCTTGCCCCTCTTGTTCCATGCTTTTTTATGTATGTATGTATGTATGTATATGTATGTAGCAGGGTACACGTGTATTGTAACTTCCGCTTGACAAATTTGCATAAATAAAAAACTGTGATGCCCGCATTAATGTGCGTGCGTGTGTGTAAATGTGTTTTTGTGATAGTCACACTTATCGCTAATTTTGAGTATGTCATAGCAATGCTCATGCATATACACACATACATACATAAGTATGTACATGTATGTACATGTAATCGGCAGTTCTGATTATTCTCGCTTGATCATCAAAAACATGTTTCTCTATGTACATACATACATATAAGGGGGTGTGTGTGTGTTTTCTAAATTTGTTCCATTAAAATGTATTTTTAAAATTGACCTCCATGAAATATGTAAATGGCATAGTTCATATCATGCAAATATTCGTGGTGTCTCTTTGGAGAGTGTGCTGCATTTGTACAAATTATGTACATTCATATTTTCACTGATTTCAAATACTTTAACTAGAGCATGTAAGGCGACGTCACAGTTACACTCACACACACACACACACACGCATACATACGCTGACAACCATGGGGAAGAAGCGCGCGTGTGTGCGGAAACATCGATCGATGGCGTCGTCGTCGTTGTCGTGCTTGCGAGAGGCGTTTAGCTACATACATACACACATACATACATACGTACATATATATATGTGTGTACCTGTCAACGAGAGTAAGAACGCAAATACAACGTAACAGAGAAGATAGCGGTGCTCATGAGTGTTGCTCTACCCGCATATTCAATTGATTTTCAAGTTTATTAGCCAGCGTCGTCATTACAGCTGTTTACAAAATGGAATTTGCCCTCCTTTTTTTTTTTTTTGTAAATGATCGCAAGAGGAACCGATTGTGTCAGTGAGTGTGCGAGTGAGAGAGTGAAAAGAGCTGTGCGCGCCTTATCGCCGCTTGCAAATGGCTCGTAATTGATTTTGTATATATACATACATGCATACATACACACGGTTTGTTTTCCTAAGATTGCTTGTATGTATGTATGTATGTATGTAGGTTGTGAAAATATCCAATTTCGGACTCTTATGCTTATGAAATTTTAATATCGCGGACTGCTCAGTAATCAGTGCCGCATTTGTCATCGTCTTCGTTACCACCCCCCTCCCCCTCTGCCATAAACGTTATAATCTACTGATACAACTGATCGATCGGCAGATTGCAATGCTTATCGATTAGTTGGGTTGGCGAACTGTTAATCTGGTACAACCTTCTTGTCTTGTCGCTTGTCTCATTATTTTCACGCAGTTCTCATGCAGAATTGGGTCCCTTATAATTGTATGTACGACAATAGATACGAGTAAATTAGCCGGTGCAGTCCAGTTCATATATGTACATACATACATACATATAAATGTCTCTACATAAACTAACATACATATACATATGTATGTATGTAAGTACATGCCTGATTTACACACGCTTGTTTATTTGGTTACTGACCAAAACGAACGGTTAATGTGCGAAGGGCATAGCGAGAAGGAGAGAGGGAGTTGCAGACGAAGAGCGAAAGGCAGAAATTAACGTGAGAGGAGAGATTTAGGCAGGCAGGGACAAGTCAAAAACGAATGTCAATGTTAAAAATTTTCGCTGTCAAAATCAGCAGTCGTCTAACAGAGTGTACGCATGCGTCTACAGCTTACTGTGGAGTGGGCATCTACGTAATCTCTGTGTGTGTGTGAATAGAGGATGGCATACGAAAAGAAATTTACTACTCAACAAGCGGAATATACAAATTCATTGATTTCGACTTTTACTTTCTGTTAAGCTCGTCTTCGTTTTTCGCTGCTTCTGCCTGCCCCCATTGTTGCGCTTTCTTTGTTGGTTTTATGTTGTCTCTCGTTTATGTGCTATGTTAGTGTGTGTATGAATATTCGAATGTTGCTGTTAACGCGCTCTCCATTGTCCAATGTTCCAATGGCAGAATTTGTGTTTGCTAACATTACAGTATTTTTCTCAATGTTATTGTTTACTGCTTCTATCACGGAAGTGTGTCATACCCATTGATTTAATGGGTATCAGGTAAATGCACTGGTTGGGTTTGTATGCATACTTGCATATGTACACACACACACACACACACACACACACACATGCATATGTACGTATGTATGTGAATACAAATCGCGGCAAGACGTTCGAAATTGGCACGCCCATGGCTGTCAGCTGTTTGTTGTTTGTGTGTGCCCGAACAGTGTGTACACACTGCTGACTTGCAAGCACATGTGATATTCTTATTGGAATTATCCAAATCGTGGCATAAGTATGTATGTGTGTAAACGTATGCTTACGCAAACAATTGCATGCATATATGATGTGTGTGTGTGTGTGTGTATATGTGTATAAACAAACATATTTATGTTAGTTTAATTGATTTACGCTTCGATCACGTTGTAAAGTAATACAAATATTTTGTTCGGCTCTTGCGGCCTTTAAAATACCCTTCTACTTATGCTAATAGAAGCAATCATGCATACAAAAATATGTTGGTACATAAATACTTGCACACATACATATGTACATATGTATGTAGCTTTCGATGTGGAGTATATGAAATTGTGTTTCGCCACCTAACGGTAACTGCGGTCAAGGTCAGTTTTATGATGAGCAGCGTTTAACATTTTTGTTTTTTTTTTTCTGTCTGTCTGTCTTTCTCTGTTCTCAGCTGTCTGCACTCGCTGTAAACATGTGTGCGTGTGTGTGTGTGTGTGTGTTATTGGCCTGCCAGACAGCGTCTCCAACTTTTGCATTGTCTCCACTTCCAGTTGAACTCTGCTGCTGTCTGTCTGTATATTGATTTCATTATCCTGCCAAAAATACAAATTGTCTGGCGGGTGCCTCGGTTAACAGTTAATCATAACATATCGACAGCTGTGCGAGCTGTTGTTGTTGTTGTTGCTTTATGGGAACCAAAAAAATGTCAACGACTTGGAGTTTGTTGTCGTATTCCCTATCCCATTGCCGCCTACAGCTTCGCTTTTTGTATGTGGTTCATTGACATCTTTTGAACTGAATTAAGGGCGATGTCGACATTTGGGGTTGCATTTTGTCTTTGCCCTTTTTCCTTTGCTTAGAGGGATACCAAGTGTTTTTTGCCTTCTTCTTTTTTTTTTTTATGGTTTCCATTTAAGTATGGCGCATGTCAGCAAACATTTTTCAACACTGCCACACACACACACACACACACACACACACACATTTCAATTAGTTTATTGCAAATTATAAAATCCTTTCATTGCAACAATAACAAATGAAAACAGAGACATTCCTTTATACATCCGGTCTAAGTAGGTTCCCTTAATGTTTATGTTAAGCCGATAACTGTATTTTTTTTTTTCTTCGATAAGGCACCCTGCGCTCCCCCACCCCTGCCAGCAAACTCTTAAGCTTTTACTTTTTGCTTCTCTCAGCATAATTCTAACATCGCAATAATTTATCGGTGTATGTGTGCTTATCTATCTGTTCATGTATGTGTGCATGTATGTATGTGTGCGCATAAACAGTGGATCGTATTCGTTGAAGTCGTCAGAAAGCTGAAATCCAAAAGAACGTATCACATACATATACATACATATTTCAATTCTGATTCGTAAACTAAAGTTTCAGATTTACGCTATAAATTTCAATCTTGTTGAATACATACATACACACATACGTTGAGTGAATTGATACATAATATTTGATTATCGTTATCTAATTGTGTTATTTCTATTGTTTTATATTTTCAGGCTCCTTGGTCGAGATTTCCAACAAAACTAATTAAGGACTATTAAGAGGTGAGTGACTGCAATCGTTTATCGATAACGGGTATCGATAACGGGTATCGATAACGAAACACTCGTCCAGTCGTGAACGAGTACAGAGCGATCGTTTGTCGTTGTCTCTCGTCGTCTCCGATTCGGACACTGTGTAACCAAATACATGTACATATGTTGCTAACGATGACGCACTGCGCCGATAGTATTATCCAAATAGCCGGCAACAAGATGCCGGTCTCACTCTCTTCGACTCGCACACATCTATGCATGCATATAAAGTGCATTAGTTTATGCACTTTGCTAAAGTTAAACCGGTTTTGTCGCTAAATCCGCTAAAAACGTTTGTTTTTCTCTCTTAAATTTGTTTCTTCTGTTAGCAAGAGCAGCTTTTGTCGTGCTGCAGATGCATCTGCTGTTATATTGTTGTTTTAAAATTATTTATTTATTTTATTTTATTTTTTTTACCAAGTGATTTACTATGCTAAAATCAGCTGTTTTTATAATAATTTTTGCTGATTAGAACGTTTGGGCTCGACAGGTGTTTCTCATTATTGTAAAGCCTTATTGCTCCATTAAAAAATGTGCTTGGACTTATCCAAAATAAGAGTTTCAGGCAGAATGCGTCTCATGCATTAAAAAAGACCATGGCAATATTCTCGATAGGACTTTTAACATTTCACAAACTAAACCTGAATTAAATATACATAAGGCTGCACACATATCGATACATGTTATTGTACATAATGTACATATACATAAACGATATGTTATTGTACATAATGTACATTTACATAAACGCATGGCAACTGTTAGCTGGCATGAGTCTAACGGCATTGCTGCAGTGCAGCTGATTGCTCTGCGGGTGAGCAGCGCTGTCGACGGTTCACTTCAGCCGCAAATACAGTTGACGTCACACACATACACACATGCGCACGCACCCACTAACACACAGATCTGTACACATTTTGAGCTCGACTGAGCACTGTGTCCTGCAATTACAGTATATAAATGATTATGTCAATTTTTGGGACCTACCTCTGAATTGGAAATGGCGACAAACTCTTGGCACTTTGGAGTGTCTGGCGTTACAGCACGATGCGTCAACTGCATTTAATCAATAAAACATATGCATACATATATACGTACTCTTGCATATATATATGTATGTGTGTGATATATTGCCCCTCTTTGCTGAGTTTCTGATGGTTGTGCTGCTGTTATGAATACGGTCAGCTGCTTAGTCAAATACACACATACATATACATATACACATACAAATTGGGTCATGCCTCTGGACTTAACAGCTTCGGTTCGCCGTTAACATGCTGCTGTAAACGCTCAACATTCAGGCCACTGTTACGCTGTGTACTTATGTAAACTCATACATTTATGTATATACATACATATGTATATACATATTTATTGCAAGCTCTACGCAGTCACCTGTTGTGCGAGTATTTTTTATATTGTTGTTGCCAAGCGCCCGCTACTCCATGAACAGGTTTGTTTACGCATGACTGCCAAACAGAGTTCACACACACACACACACACACAGACAGAGAGAGAGAGAGAACAAGCATAAGCACGCACCTCACACCCTAAGCTTTTTGTTTCAATTCCTATGCATTCTTATTGCAGTTATACAAGCGTTTATACAATTGTTTGATATATTAGTGGTGGTGGAGGTGGTGGAGGGGAGGGGGGGGTGTATTTATGACGCACTTAAAGCGTAACTGTTGTAAATTTTGCAACTGATGATGAAATGTCTATGATTCATGCCGTTAGAGAACAGGCAGTGGCCTAAAACCGTCTCGGCCGTCTCGGCGACTTACATTTGTCAACGGTAAAAAAGTAAAAATGGCTACTTATCCATTTTTGCCATTTGCCGTGCAAAGAACAACGTGCGTCGGCTCACGCGTCATTCTCTTTGGCTGACGCTGCGCTTGCCGATCGCGCTTAATCATTTACTAAACCTCTTGCATATACATACATGCATACACACACACATATATACATATACACATGTATGTATGCATGTATGTGAATGTGCACGATATTATTTCCGGCCAACGATAATTGTGATGTCATTATATAGTAATCGCAAGCTTTCCCACAATTTAAACACTAATCTAACACATACATATGTACACATTTACATACATGCTGTAGTATGTATGCATGTGTGCACTGAAATTGAGTCTCGCTTTCGAGCAGCATATTCAAGCATTCAAATAGCACTGATAAAAGGCAACAAGAGCCTCAATATAACAGTATAACAGCATAGATACATACATACATATGCATGTGCGTGCGTGAGAGTGGGCAGCAAAAGCAAAATCTGAAGAGCGTGAATATACAATTAGTTCTGTTTCTTATGACATACCCCCTTTTTTATATACCGCCTTTGGTTTCCAAATTTCGGATATACAGAGCATCGCCTAGTCGGAGACTATAAGCGAACTCTGGTTTATATTGTCGTTTTTGTTGTTGATAACACTTAAATTTCTAGAAATATGGAACGGAAGCCTACATGCACATGCATATGTACACAAACACACGCATACTCCAATGCATTCATACGTTCTATAATAAAAGTAAAACTAAGCTTAAAAACAACAACCATAAATACAGTAATTGGTTTTGCATGCGTTCCGTTCTTTGCAAAAAAGAAAAAAAAAACAGTTGTGATGCGACCAATAACGGTGCATGCACCATGAGCTTTGCTCATTTACTCATTTGGCACTGTTTGCTGCATTTGCATTTATCTATTGCTTGATCTTTTCTTTTATTTGCACACTTAACATTCTGTGATTAACAGGAGTGCATGGAGCATATGCTCATCATTAAGGGCTTAAGGTTACAACTTGTATTTAACAGTCTGTTATTGTTACTGTTAGCTGCATTTACACATAATATGTTGGGTAAATGTTAAATAAAAGCCGATCGTTTATCCAAATTGGAATTAACTAAATTCCACATAGACTTCTGTCTATTTATAGCATTTTTAATTCGTCATCCTCACAAAGGTGTGTCATCAAATTTATTCATTCATCATTTCGTAAATCCCAATATATTTTCTAATTTCGTGTCAATATTCAATTTTTCTTCAAGAATTCAGTTTAGCTTTATAACCTATTTTTTTACACATATCTTCCGCTTTGCCACACAACTTAATTCCCAAGAACTACATTGAAACCCGATTTGCACCGAAAGGGTTGAGTTTTACGCTTTTGGTGAATAGTTTTTAGCTTTCGATTATAAAAGCCCCGACTCATTTTTAAATATTCAGGCTAAAAACCATCTGAATCATTTCAGCTGCAGCGTGAAGTGGGTGAACCGGGCAAAGCCGGGTAAAACCCGCTGGTAATGTACATACATGCATACATATATGCACCAAAACACATACATGTGTATATATATAGATATGTTGTTTTTACGTTGAGTCAATCTGTATTAAATGGAAGTCTAAAGTCTCTTGGGCGGGCTCCCACCCCGAGCTTTATGCAGAAATCGATTGATTTAGTGCTTTTTGCTATTTGGCAACAACAAGCGACAATTTCTGTATGTATGTATGAATGTATGTATGTGTGCCGCGCTACATGTGTTTGCATGTGTGTATTTGTGCATGTGTATGTGGATGTCTTCGTTTTGTTGCCATTGCTAGAAAACAGTTGTCATTTGGCCTTGAACCTGAAATTCGAAGTTCAGCTACGTTTTTTTGTTCTTCTCTTTTTTTTTTTTGTACGCGATTTGTTTTGCCTTTTGAAGCATGTATGTGCACACACACATACATTGCTGTGTTGCGGTGCGTTGACTGGCATTTTTTGCCAATATCAATACATGTGCGTGTATGCATGCATGCATGCGTGTATGCATGTATATATGTATGCATGCATGCATGCATGTATTGTTGGTTATGCTAAAGTTTTAGATCTTTGCATGGAAATCAAAGTTTAAAAGGTTATGGCTGGCAAATGTTCTCAGCACAGGTGTATTTATATATACAACATTTGCGTATATTATTATTTTTGTTTTGTTCTGAGATTTTAATCATAATGGAAATATGAACGCGGAAGTAATCACTGAGAGAACTTAATGTATTGTGTATTTACTCAAATATTTATGTGTGTGTATGAATGTGTGCATTGCATTTGTATTGTACATACATACATGCATATTGATCATATACATATACATAGCCTTATCCAAATCTGTGGATGATGGAGATGGAGATGTCATCTAGAACTCGCTCTCTCGCTGTTAAGCGTTCCATTTAGAAGCATGTACATATATACATATGTATGTTATGTACATACATACATATGTATGTTATGTACATACATACATATGTATTCAATATCAGTTTAGTTGAGGTATGCCATAGTCGATCGCACGGACTTGCCGCATTTACTTGTGCGCCTTCTAGGTTAATGAACTGACGCACACAATACACACATGCATACACACATACATTCATACATTCATACATACATATGTACATATGTGTGCACACAAGTATCTAGGGGTCGTTCCCGCCTTTTGTGTAATTTTGAATTTTATTTAACTTTGCTGTTTAAAGCGTGCAATTAATAAAAAAAAAATATAAATATAAATATAAAATTAAAGGGTATGTGCGGCTGGCTGGAATTAAAAATACCCTTGCAATTAAATGCTTTATTTTCGTCCGAATTTTCATTTAGTTTTCCTTAGACTTGTTTCATACAAACAGACAGATTGGGAAATCGATTGCTCTAGCAGAGATACAAATACAATTTACAGGGTATCATAGCTAGGTGAACAATTGCCAAAATGGCTGCCATGTCCATATGGATATACATTGCAGTGTTGTAAAATTATTCAAATTTCGATTTCGATAGAATGCACCCTTACCTATAAATTTGAATACATATGTATGTACACATGCATGTACACATGTATGTACACATGCATGTACACATGTATGTACACATGCATGTACACATGTATGTACACATGTATGTACACATGCATGTACATTCATACGCATGCATCTGTGTGTTTGTGTAGGTAAACTGCGCAGATGCCTTCGCCTGTGCATACATATTTCAAATTGTTTTGCTGGGCAAATAAATATTTGTACATTTTTGCTATTTTGTATTGAAATTCAAGCAATGAGCACACACATATTTGTCATTTGTCATTTGATTTGCATTTTATTGTGCATTTGTTTCTTTTAAGTTTTATTGCTTCCTATTTTCGATTCGCGTGTCTGCCGCTACGATATCGTATACCCTGTAATTGACTAAAAAGGGTTTAACAATTTCAGAAAAAGGCTATACTTGTAAACCGAATCTATTGACACTTAAATAGAATAACGATGAAATATATATATGTACTTGATGTACATGCACTGGTTGATTTTTTTTTTACATTTATTTGGCCATATATAATTGACATTTACTATGTGTAATCTCCATAAGAATGCATGTACACTGATATTTTGTGTTCGGTGTAGGGTATCAGCAAATCGAATATTCTCGACAAGCCGATTTTCGCTTACTTTATCTGCTGCTGCCGTCAAAAATAGTCGAACAAAAGCGTTTACAGCAACAGAATGCGACGCACGCGCGCACGCACGCACGCACGCACAGCGCATCATACATGTACATACATACATACATACATATATCTGTTATGGCTTGCTAAGCCAATTGAGTAGCTACATACATACATATGTAATAAATATATATGAAATATGCTATGCAATTAAATTGATCTTTCAATTTTAAAACAAATAAAAGCTCTTACAATTTAAAGTCAGACTCAGCTGATGTGCGCATATATTAATATATTGGGTCACATAGACACACACGCACGCACGCACGCACACACACACACACGCCTGCATAGGCCTAACAGATGAACAGATATGTATGTATGCATGCATGCATGTATGTTACACTCGTGACTCTTCTATATATGAAGTGCTGCACAGCTGATTGTGAGTCATGTTGTGGAAGGAGAGAGAGACATGATTCAATAATAATAACAATTTAACAGCAAGCGTTTGTCTAATATTTTCAATTATACACATTCAGACATATGTACATATGCATGTACTTGTTACTTGCTGTCATATTCTTGAATGCAAACAACAAGAACAGAGCGAACTAGCGCAAATTTACAATTAATGCTGCCGCTCTTCCCGCAACTCAACGGACATTTGCGTTTTACAATTTACGCTAATTTACAATAACAATTTTTGATTTTTGCACTTGCTGCCGTTGCTCGCCTGGCCGACCATTCGTCCATCCGACCACCCGCCCGGCCGCTCTAAAAATAGCCCAGCCGCGCAGTTGCAGCTTTGCGTTAGCAGCCGTTGTTGCTCATTTGCGGTATTCTGTCGCCGTGCGCTTGCATGTGTGTGCGTGGGTGTGCTTGTGTGCGTTCGCAAATGCATTTGATTTTGGCTGTTAAATGACAGACTGCAGCGCGACTGCAGTAGTCGCTGTTTTGTAGCTGCTGTTGCGTCAACGTTGTGCTCAATTAACGTCGCGCCACATTTTGATGCCGTGTGTGCCACTTTTCGCATGCCGCCCTTGACCCAAAAGTTGCACCGGCAAACAACAAATCAACGCCTCGCCTAACAGTTGCCATACACACACACACACACACACGCACACACATGCATTTTGCATCGGGCCGACCAGGCCACCCCAGGCAGCGTAACTGGGTTAAGGTTGAATTCGCTGTCGCCGCTGTTGCTGCTATGCGATCCTATGAGCTGTTAACAAACAGACGACTGTTAGCAACAGCTGTTAGGCGTGCTCAGCTGTTATTAGACGTTCCGTTTTGTTGTGGGCGGGCGTATGTATATATGTACATACATTTGGGCACTTCGAACTGTAACCAATGCATATGTATGAGCATATCTATGCATATTTTATACGCATATCGATAGCCATATGCGATGTGTGTCATCGATTTCATTGATGTTTTGTTTTGCATGCATCATCTGCAGGCAGAGCTGCGACGACGTCAGCGTGTGCTACCTGTTGTTTTGTTCGTAGTAATTGGCAAGGTGAGGGTTGACATATTTCGTGCTCTGGCCGAGCTAGGCAAACGTTGTATAAAAATAAACAAAATAGGCTGATTTTTGTGCCATCAATTGATATTCATATACGATTGTTTGCTTTCTCGTTGCAGACTGTTAACAAGGAACAACAAAACCCCAAGCTAAAATCATAAAAAACAAAAAACAAAAAACAAAACAAAAAAACAAGGAGAAAGAACGGAAGACTAGCAATAATAATAATAATTATAATAATAACAACAACAACAACAACAGCCACAAATCAAAACCTAATTTAAATCTAAAAAGCAAAGTATTTGTTTTTTTGTCATCATTCAAACAGCGAACACAACAAAAATCACTTTAGCCTTATATACAACAACAAAACACTAGTATATTACCATAAGAAACTGCAAGCGCGATAAAAGGAAGAAACCTGGCTACGCTCTAACTAGGCTAAAGCAAGCTAAAGACACAAACAACAAGAAAAAGAACAATCGCCTACTCTCTCTATCTCTCTCGCTCGCTCGCTCGCTCTCTCTCTCTCTCTCTCTCTCTCTCTCTGTCTGTCTGTCTGACAGCAAGAGCTCGAACAGGCAACAGGAAGCAGATAATCAACAAACGTGCAGTACGGCAACTCTGGCAACAGCTGCAGCGCATCAACAACTACTAAAAAAAAAAAAAAAACAAAAAGCAAGCAGCATCAAGCGCGACGTCAACGCTGCCGCCGCAGCCGCAGCCGCTGCCAGAGGAAAGCAGCAGCAGCAGCAGCAGCAGCGCAGCAGTGGGCAGCGATGAACACCCAGCAGGAATAGCAGCAGTTACGTTAGCAAGTGCTTTAGAATCTGCGATAGCAGAGCGGCAATTAAAAGAGAGAGAGAGTTACAAAGAGAAAATAGTGTGCAAAGTTAACTGTAATAAAAACATTTTCAAAAAGCCCTAAGCAAGCGCAGGCGGTGGGGGGTAGCGGCCTAATGCAAAACAATATGGTAAGCATACCAGCGGCCAATATGAACGGCGGCCTCAAGGCAGCCAACGGCAGCGGCACCGTCGTTGGCGTCGGCGTCGGCGTTGGCGTCGGCGTTGGCGTCGGCGTTGCCGGTACAGTGTTGACAAATGCGCAGCGCGTCTATTTGACGCCCGCCTCCAGTTACCATTTAGCTGCGCGACAAACAACTGTAAGCGGCGCTGCAACCGCAGGCGTTGGCGTCGCTGCCACTGCCAAAACGGGCAATAACATTAACATCAACAACAACAACAGCAGCAGCAGCAACAACAACAACAACAGCAGCAGCTGCAATACAAATGCGACAGCATCCAGCAGCACAGCTGGCACCGTGCGCTACTTTTCGCAGTTTAGCAAACTGCAGCCGGTGCAGCAGCTGAACACCAGTGTTGGGCAACGGAAGCTGCTCAATGGCGACACCATGGTGTTGGTTAATGGCAGCAAGCCGCTGATCTTTGCCACCCCAAACCACAACAACAACAAGTTGATAGCAGCAGCAACAACAGCAACAGCAGCAACAACAGCAGCAGCAACAACAACCGCAACAACAACAACCGCAACAACAACAACAGTTCCTAATGGCAACAGAGTGTTAAACAACAAGCAGCAACAACAAAAACAACAAGAGCAAGAACAAGAAGAAGAGCCAGCAGCGACTGTGATTGATGAACTGCAGCACGAGGAGCTGCAGATTGGCAACGAAATCGGAGACATAATTGAGATCAAGCAGGAGCTGGAGGAGCCATTGGCATTGCTAACATCGTCAGCGCCAAACTCAATCAAATCCGGCGACCAGGATGCCGAGCCCGAGCTGGACATTGTGATCAACAATGTGGTCTGCTCGTTCAGCGTTCGCTGTCATCTCAAGCTGCGCGAGATCGCGCTCAATGGCTCCAATGTGGAGTACAGGCGGGAGAATGGCATGGTTACGATGAAGTTGCGGCGTCCCTATACGACTGCCTCCATTTGGTCATCGGGCCGGATAACGTGCACGGGCGCCACATCTGAATCACAGGTAAGCCTACTGCTCCTACTTCTCCTCCTCCTGCCCCGGCACACACTCACATGCTCGACTGATTGCAGGCCAAGATCGCCGCCCGTCGGTACGCGCGCTGCCTGAGCAAGCTGGGCTTCCCGACGCACTTCCAGAACTTTCGCATCGTCAATGTGCTGGGCACCTGCAGCATGCCCTGGGCAATTAAAATAGTCAATTTCTCGGAGCGACATCGCGACAATGCCAGCTACGAGCCCGAACTGCATCCGGGCGTTACGTACAAGATGCGCGAGCCAAAGGCCACGCTCAAGATCTTCTCCACGGGCAGCATAACGGTAACAGGTGAGCGACACAAGCGACGATTTCATCTCTTTGCAAAAAACTAAACTAAAATCTATAGCTGAAATAACCCTTGCTGGCAGAGTATATCACATTATCAGCTGTTTTGCTTTGTTATCGCATTCGTAAACGTTTGTGTATTGCTAAAGGGAAAGAGAGAGGCAGAGAAAGACATATAGAGAGGGAAAGGGAGGGAGAGAGAGAGAGAGAGAGAAAGAGAGAGAAAGAAAGAAAGAAAGAAAGAGAGAGATAGAGAGACGGAGAGACGGCGAGAGAGAGAGAGAGAGAGAGAGAGACAGAGAGAGAGAGAGAGAGAGACAGACAGACAGACAGAAAGAGAGACAGAGAGAGAAAGAGGCAGAGAGAAGGAGAAAGATAGGAAGAGACAGAGAGGATGAGAGAGAGACAGACAGAGAGAGACAGAGAGAGAGAGACAGAGAGAGAGAGACAGAGAGAGAGAGACAGAGAGAGAGAGACAGAGAGAGAGACAGAAAGAAAGAAAGAAGGAGAGAGATAGAGAGACGGAGAGACGGAAAGAGAGAGAGAGAGAGAGAGAGAGAGACAGACAGACAGACGGAAAGAGGGACAGAGAGAGAAAGAGGCAGAGAGAAAGTGAAAGATAGGAAAAGACAGAGAGGATGAGAGAGAGACAGAGAGAGAGAGAGAGAGAGACAGAAAGAGAGAGACAGAGAGAGAGAGGAAGATATAGAGAGAAAAATCTTTTATTTTTATGTTTTCTAATCTAGAGTTTAAGTTTTGCTTTTGATGCGGCTTTTCGTAAACGTTTTGTTCATCTAGAGTTGGTTTTTTTTTGTTTTTTTTTTTTTTTTTTGTATATTGATATCAGCAATCGCGGATTATTAACAACAATTTTTTGCGTCCACAGCCGCCAGCGTAAATGACGTGGAATCCGCCATACAGCACATTTACCCGTTGGTGCATGAGTTCCGTAAGCAGCGTTCCGCGGAGGAGCTGCAGCATCTGCGGCAAAAGCAGCGCGCCCAAGGCGGGGACGATCTCAACGAGCTGGACGATCAACTGGCGCAGCTGGAGGGTAAGAGCGCTGTCAAGGATGATATGTTCTTAAACACCACCGCCGCACACACAAATGCCAGCCGGCCGCAAGGAGCTGGCGGCGCCAACAGCCTGCCCAACGCATCCCTATACACGGCGCGCCGCATTGAGCAATACAAAAGCTATCAGGATATGCAGGAGCAGACGCAAATGGAGCGCCGCCACGTAAGCTATGCCACGTGCGACGCCGCCAAAGGCGGCAGCAACAACAGCACCGGCGACAATATCTGCGCCAATGCACGACGCCGCGCCACCGAATGCTGGGCGACAAAGCTGCAAAACAAACGTCCGCGCTACAATGATCCTGGCTCCACGGCGACAGTCACTGCCGGCGCCATTGCACGCACTGCCAACACCGCCGTCGCCAATTACAATACCAATTTCAGCGCTGTTGGCGTCGCTGCTACTGTGACGGCAACGGCGACGGCGACGGCAAGTGCGGCGAACAAGCTGCTGCGCAACAACAACAAGCCGCCGCTCATTCCCGTCGATGTTGTGCTCAAGCAGAGCAGCTCCAGAGCGCGCAATGCTGCAGCTGCTGTTACGGCGACAGCTTACGATGAGAGCGTTTACACGAAACGTGAGACATTCTCCCCAACGGATTTCCAAGTGGACGATCTGATCGAGGAGGATGAGGATGACTTGGACATGCACTTTTAAGAGCAGCCACCGAGCAGCGACCGAGCAGCGCAGCAGCATCGATGATCCAAGCGGAGCAAGCTAATTGAATTTGTTGATAACAGAAGTTGCCTATGCCAAATTTATCGAGAGTTTTACAAAAGAAAGACACAAAGAAAAATGCAGCATGCTCAACCCACACACGCACTCACACACACGGACACACACACAAACAGACATATAAGCATGATGTGTATTTTTCTTATGTGCCCTTTCAATGCATTTAACATAAGCTTAACATAATGGAAACATACAAATACACACACACACACACACACACATGCATACATGCATCCATGCGGAAAGGGCAGCAGCATCAACACATTAACATCAACAACAACAACAGAGGACGGCGAATTCAAAATCCAAATCAAATATTTTCTATAAAAAAAAAAAAAAACAAAAAACAAAAAAAAACAAAAACAAAACAAGAGCCAAATATTTATATTTAAGGTGAGTTTCTAAAGCAGTTGCTTTGTTCATTGCGCTAGTATAAACATTTAATTAATCATCTTGTTTTATTTTTTTTTTTATACCCTTTACAGATTATGTTTAGACAGAGCAATAATGTACGTATGTAGTTTAAAGTACAGCAAACTACGGACACCGCGATTCAATTGATCAGCTTTTACGAAATGGTATAAATTTGATTTACCATAGGCATATACACATATAGACTAAATGCAACAAATATCAGCAATTATGTGCGCTACACATACACATACGTATAAATAAATATATCATTTACATATACGTATTAAAACCCTCAATAACTGCAGTTACAACAACCTGCAACAGCGACCCGAACTCAAAAGGAACAAGTGGAAACTGAAACTTAATAAACTATTGCACACACACACACACACACATATATATAGATATATACTGATCGACCTACATAATCGATTTCTTTGATACCAATTTGTATCGTTAATGCATATGTAACTGCGTATGTGAGGAACCACCGCCTAATAAATACTGTTACTACATTACAACAAAAACAAAAAACATAAACTAAAACTAAAACAAATACACTATGGAATACATTTAGCTCTATGTTTCATTTACATTTAGTTCAATGTTAAACAGAACTCTTAGAATTTGCTGCACAACCGCTGTTACATTTAACATATTAAGCAAATGTAATGCGGCTCTGACGTCACAATTCAACAGCCGCCATTGCGCATAGCGAATCCCAACAAAAATAAACCTTTAATTAGCACATTTTATTAGTATCTTGTTTTTTTTTTTTTTTTTTTTTTTTCTTTCATTTTGTTTATTTTTGACTTTTGGATTTCTTATTTAATGATAACATCAATTAATTTAAATATATAGATGGTTCGAGTTCGAGACCAACAACAGTCGCTTGAACTTTAATGTAGTGCATTATTATTACTGTAAGGGATTAAACTTAAATTTTGTTTGTTTTAAAACTATTTTAAGTGCTTTAAAAATTCAGATCTAAGAAATTATATTTACATGCATACTACACTTATATCTGGTCACTTGTAAACCAATAACAAAAATACGCAAAATATGCTAAAACAAATTACATTTAATTCATTAAATTTATACTTTATACATTGCATATGGAAAGGGCAGAAATACATGTTATTATTTGCCAATTAACCGCATTCAGTAAGATAATTAAATCTTACGTGTCAACATTTTTTTTTTTTTTTCATAATTTTTAAGATTTAAAACTTGTTCCTGTGTTGTTAAAATGAAGAAAAACAAAGTGTAAACGAAAAATGTAGTTCATAAATAATATGTATGTATTTAACATGCGTGCTCACGCATTCACACAAACACACACATACACACACACACACACACACACACACACATGCATACATGCATACATACTTGCATTCAAAATTAGTGACGACAGCAAATCATAAGCAATAAATATTGTTCATTTAAAAACGTTTACAAATGAAAGAAACGTACATGTAAAGCAAACAGCAAGATAGCATTAAACAAGGAGAGAAGATGGGCATAAGCGTCTAATATGTAATTACATATACATATGTACATGCATGCATATGCATATTGTATGCACAATGTAAAAAGGCATTAATATGTAAAGAAAGTGAATTGGAGTACCATCGCTAATTCCTTGCCGCATAAAATACTCACGCACACATGCATGCGCTAGACAGAGAAATGAGAGTAAGAGCGAATGAGTGGGAGTAGAAGTAGAAAACGAGGGCAAATGCACATGCATGGGCTCGTCCGTCAATACATACATACATACGTGCATATGAATTTGTTGGTGTGCATTTTCTCTTTGGTTCATTAGCGTACCACATATACATACATGTTCACAGAAACCCTCTCAAACTTAATCAAATAGCAAATTGTACAATCATATAACAAGAAGTAAATTGTAACACATCGCTTCCATGCCATACAATTTTTGTTAACATTTGTGGCAGAACGTACACACACAAATTGAAGCCAGCCCAAATTGTTCAATAAACATAATTTGTACATACGTAATTATTTAATCATATGTACATTAAACAAAAAAAAAAAAACTGACATGCAATTGTGAATATTTATAGTAATATTATTAACAATACACAACACAATGTAAATGCGTTACGTTACGTTGCGTTACGTTACGTTACGTTACTTATATTGCGCAGCAAGCGTTGCAGAATCCGCACTAACATAATGACACCACATACACACACATATGTATGCGTGTGCGTGCGTGTGTGTTATAACTGTTTCTTTTATTGTTCTCTTTTCGTGTTCTCATGCTTAGTGCATTGCCTAGATTGAAAAAGAAAATCAACAGTTACATATATCATGTACAACTGGCTATTCAAATTTCTGCCTTATGAAATTTGGTTGGATTTTGTTTCCTTTCAACTATGCCACCACCACTGAGGTCCTTGAAAATCAGAAATTCGTTCATATCGTTAAATTATGCATAATCAAAAAAAAAAAAAAAACAAATCATTAGCAGAAACAAATAATAAAATAATTACACATATGCTGCATACATACATACATACAAACATACAAACATACATATATCAACTTGGCGATATTATCTAGAGTTTTTTACTGCATGTTCATTCAAATGTATTCATTTTGTTAGTGTAAAATTTCGTGTACATACATCAATGAATGCCTAAATTAATACAAATACTTATACACACATACATATATACATGCATATATATTTTGAAAAAAAAAAAAAACAAAAACAAAAAGAAATTGCCTTTAGGGAACAAATAAACGTGTGAAACCAAGAAGCAAACCAAAATGTATTTTTGTGTGAATGCTAGCCAGAGAAGAGGAAGAGAAGCATATAAAAATCGAAGCTTAAAAAAATTTGAATACTAAACGTAAGCCAAAACACGCAATCTAAGTAAATGTAAACAATTAACATAACATAGTCTGTAACTGTTAATAATGCAATGTGACAAAAACAAAAAGCACAGCAAGAAAAACTGCAAAAGGGGAAAATAATTGAAAATTTTGCAAATAGATAATAAGCTGAGATACATCTTAAAGTGAAGTTCACTTCTAACTGCCTTCAAAAAATTAATTTAAATTAAAAAATATTAAAACAAGACGAGAGAAAGAGAAAGAGTAGAAAAAACACAAAATGACACAAGCTTCAATTTAAAAAAATGCCAGCAAAAAAAAAAAAAAAGAAGAAAAAAAAAGAAATGTAATGAAGAAAAAGCACATATTATTCTCAATAAATTGGCAATTGATTTCGAAAATAGTTGAGATATTATTTATTTAACAGCAACAAAAAGCAAGAAGCGAGAAGCAAACGCCTAAATAAGTGTATTTGGTTTCATAAACTTTAAATGCAAAAAAAAAAAAAACAAACCTAAATATTTATATAGTATACACATATATTTTTTATTATTACGTATTTAAAACAAGTAATTTTTAAAGCTTCAAATGAAACTTTACACACACACACACACACAGACACAGACACACAAGTGAAAAATCAAATAGCATAATTATGTTTTTGTTTTGCCGTAAAGACTGCATTATACCAACAATTAATTATATATATATATATATACATATATGTATATGTATATGTATATGTATTCATACATTTAAAAAGTATGGAAAACAGAGCTACAAAATTTGTAAAAAAAAAAAAAAAAAAGGAGAAGAAGAAAACTAAAATTAGGCGTTACTTTAAAAATTAAAAACCTAAAAAATAAAATCTACAGAAAAACTTTTATTTATTAGCACTTAAGCTGTACAATTATAGGAACGCAAATACCAAGAGCAAAGTTAAGAGTTTTAATTAAAAAAAAAAACAAAAACAAACTTAAACAAAGTCAACTTAAAAGGCCTGCAATAATTACGAAAAGCAAGATGAATATACCTTAAAATAAAATGCGCTAGCGAAGCCATTGGAAAACTAAGAATTAAAAACAAAAAAAATAAAAATAAAAATAGTTTATACATAGATATATGTAAAAGAAATGCGAGCAAACAATAAGTTAAAGACCGTAAATCGAGTTATTTATTCGAGAATTAAGTATCATTTCTGGTAATCAAAAAAAAAAAAAAAAACAACAACAACAATTAGACTAAGCAAATGAGTTGCGAGCGATGCAAAAAATAAAAAACAACAACTATTAATTATACAGAAATGTACGTGCATATGATAAGTATGTATATGTGTGTACAGTGTGTTTGGTCAGTCTACCGCCACTTGCATTATTAGATTCAAAGAATACACATACATGCATGCATGCATACATACATATGTATATGCATATCTAAGAGAGAGAAAACAGCAAGAGTTAATTATTTGAGCAACGCATAATATACTGCTTACATGAACTATAAACAACAACAAGCTGAGAGCGAGAGCAGCAAACTCGTCTAAACATCTAGTTTACCGTTAACCGTTTACCGTTAGCATCTAGTTTCAAGAACGACTTTAACAGCAGACAAATGCAAAAAGTGAACACAAAATATTTAAGTACAGTAAACGTACCGTTAAACTACAGTACACAACTGCCTTAATTGCAGTCAACTCAAAATAAATACAAACAAACAAACAAAAAAAAAAAAAACAACAACCAAATTAATCAAATTGTTTCAATTCAAAACATTCTACAAAGCGCGCAAAGTCTACAAAGGTAATGCGCTTGTGTAGAGCTGCTCGCGCTTGTCGTGTAGACTTTTATCGCTCAACGGACTGTACTGGCCGGGCCGGGCGAACGACTCAGTGGGACTTGCATTTTACAGCACTGAAATTTTGAAATGTGCAATCGTCAGTGCTGTGAAGCGCACGTCTAGCACACTGTTGGAGCAAATCATTGTTGAACAGTAGCTCATGAATCTAGTACACATATTATTTTACTTCCGGACGAATCCAAATTTTTAAGAGTAATTCTGACGACCGCTCCGAAAAGGCAACAATTGAGAAGAAGAAGAAGATTAAGAAGAAAAAATTAGAAACAAAACCATGTCGGACACAATTGCAAAGGTTATTTACGGTACTCTGCTGCTGGCATTGATAATACACACGCCAAAGGTATCCATACTGATTACGTTGGACGCGAATCGGTCGCATCAGTTCCATGCGGCCATCAAGGGCTTCCGGAAGAGCATTCTACTTGCGGCCCTGTTCACCATGCTGGCAGTGCTGCCCATTCAAGAATTCAATGGCATTATCAAGCCTGGCAAGAAATTGTTTGTGCTCCTCGTAATGCCCTGGGTATCCACCTGTTGCCTGATGTTCGTAACCAACTCGTTACTCTTGCTAAAGATCACGGAACGCACCCTGGTCTTGAGCTCCTGGCACTGCTTCGCCAAGGCCCTGATGGTCTACTGTATTCTGTTCGGTTTCGCCACCGAGCAGATAATGCACTGGTATTCCATTTATCATCTCCATGATTGCAATCACTCCATCGAAGAGAAATATCCACCCGTCTAGGCTGCAACGATCTCAATGGACTTGCAACGTTCTCAGTTCTATCTTAAGACTCTTGTGTGCAAAATTCAGTAGGCATGCATATATATATCTCTCTATATATATATATATATATATATAAATATATATATATACCTGTATATATGTATATGTATACAATAACAATAACAATTAAAATCGCTACACAAATATTCGTTTAAAGCTAGCACAATAATTCAATTGAACCAAGCTTCAGCGAACCGTTAAAAAAAATACTGTTAGTGTGTTGGTTAACGGTTAACCGTTTCTCCAATCGGTTCGAATCGGTTCGTATTCAGGAGGTTTTCAGTAATAAAGAGCATTATTTTATCTACTTTGTGTTGGCACCTGCAAATGAAGTCTTCCAGAGTCTCATACTTCCTGATTTCTTTGCTGAGCCTAGATAATCATCCGCTTTTTACCAGCTTTGGGTTTCTTAACCGATCCATTGAATCCCTGTGCCCCGCCTTAGCAACATATTTTCAAGACGGTTTTCGGTGTCGTGACGTTTTTGAAACTGGATTTTTATACCCTGAACCCATTAAAAATGATAATCGATAACCTACTCCGTTTGCAAGCAATCGATAAAAATCGATATCGATATCCTGTTTTTTGGGCAATTTTGTTAAATAATAAG